AAATCACTTTGTGATCGTGGAAATCACTTTGTGATCGTGGAAATCACCCTTGATTTCAGCAATAAAAAGGCCCAGGATCCGTTTCTTTCTTTATTTTATGCCATTAAGGACCCGCTTATTCTTTTAAAGAGTTCCTTGAACGTGTGAAAGGCTCTCCTTGGCTTTTCTCTGCATTTCTTTTTGGAACTATTAGGTGCAATAATCAGTCTGCAATAGGCCTGCCCAGGAACCAAGGCTGAAATTTTGGACACAGCTTTCAAGAGGCCTTAATTTGATCCCTGTAGCTGGAGCTAAACAAAGTGGGAATAAAACAAGAAGCAGCAGTTAAGAAATGAAGAAGTGCTGACTCCTTTCCTCTCTCCAACTCCCAGTTCTTTATTACAGCAATACCAATTTTAATTTTTTTTTTTTTCATTTTTTTCTTGATGAATCGTCTGGAAAGGAGTTCAGGCTTTTGCACTGTTTTTAAATAGAGATAAAATTTGTCAAAACCTCCTAAATTATGATGTTATGGAGTGTGTGAGTACATATGCAAATGAGGTTAGCTGCATACACAAATGCACGTGCGTGTGTATATATAGAGAGATATATAAAAATAAGGTATAAAAGAGATGTAAAAATTAGATAATTTAAACTTTTAAGCCCTGTTTTAAACTCTTTGGCTCCCAGGGTCTGTGTTTTGAGCCCTCCACCTCCCTGTTGTTGTTTGGATCTGGCACAGGGAGCAGGAATCAGGGGCTATTCATAGACCTTTGTGAGCTGAGTTGCTCAGCTCGGTTTATCTGCAGCTTGACAGGTGCTCCCATCCCCAAAATCTCCTCTGCCTCCTCTCCTTCCCATGGGAATGACTGAGGGACAAACTGGGGAGCAGTTTCCATTGTTGGTTCCTTGGGTGGGAGCTCTGGACATGCCCAAGATGCATTTGTTGTTTGTTTAAATGCTTTTTATCTGAAATACTCGATTTAAATTGACTTGAAAATGAAATGGTGAAACGCTTGAAAATTCCTTTTTAGGTTTCTGAGAAAGAATAAAAGAATTTCATTTATTACTCAGGTTAAATTCAGTATGCAATTTTTCTTTTTCATAGATATTTTTTGTTCTCCAGAGAATATTTTGAAGTAAGCAAGCAGTATTTTAAAAACCCTTATCATGCAACAACATCTGGTATCTAAGACCTATATTAAGGAGCATATTAATTCATTATTGTGATATGAGGCAAAATTGAGGCCTGAGATTAAAAATATATATATATAGTCATAATTTTTGCTTAGTCTGCGTTTTCAGTGGCGTTAAAAACACAATTATTTTGGTGTCTTTCTGAAGGAGGAGCGACCTGAAATGTAAATAAAAACTGAAATATTGGGGCCTCTCTCAGGAAAATCCCCAAGTGAGGGAACCAGAACAGTTGTCAATTGTTTGCACAACAAATCCTGCTGGATCAAATGGTGATATTCCCAAGGTTTAGATCCAGGGGAGCCATAAGATAATGTTGCCTCGTATCCTGCCCCCCTCTGCCAAAGGAAACAAACACAGCCCAAGTTGGGAGAAAAAATTTGGCCAAGCAGAACCTGGGCCCCGGTATCATAAATACAGATAGTCAGGTTTTTCCATTCATGCTGCCTAATGTTGGAAAAAACATGGAAATTCAGTTGGAGTTGGGCCGCTCTCAGGCTTTATTTTTAAGCTCTGGTAGGTTGTTGCCAACGTGTTATTTGGGATTATCTGTTGTGGTAAATTAGAGGCTTTATAAAAATATGTCAACTATTTGGGGGTTGTCTTCATCCTTCAAGCTTTTACCTGTCTACTTCATGTCTATATATATATATATTCTCATGTATATATGTGTTATATATATATATTCTCATGTATATATGTGTTATATATATATATTCTTGTATATATGTGTTATATATATATTCTTGTATATATGTGTTATATATATATATATTCATGTATATATGTGTTATATATATATATTCATGTATATATGTGTTATATATATATTCATGTATATATGTGTTATATATATATTC